AAGATGGTTGGGGTGCTGGCGGATGAACCGGTCAACCTAGCTTTCTAAAACCAGCTTTCCAGCCAAATCTGAAGCAAAGCGTTGTATCATTTCCTTCGTAGGTGGCAAACGTCGTTCGGTAAGCGTATCGATGTATCGTACAAGCTCCTTCTCGTGTTGTGGATGGAGGGAGAGGTTGCGCACGCCATAGGCCTCAGTTTCGCCGCGGTGTCGTCTCATCAACGTCATTCGTGCTACACCATGCTTTTTCGCGATTGCTTGATACGAGAATTTATCTTCTAGTTCTCGCGATTCGATTTTTGCAATCGCTTCTTGAATCGGGTCCATATTGGTTGAGTTTTGACGCGTTGAAGTTTTGTTGTTGTGGTGGTGGGGGTGCTCAACTGGCGATGGTGCTCATCTGGTGCACGGGCACTGTAGTTAGTTATAGCAATAACGTGGTTCACAAGCGAGTCGATCACCCAAGCAAGTCGATCACGCTCCACCGGCGCGTTGACGTTGACACGTTATCACAGTCTTTTATCACAGTTAATAAACTATTACAATATACTAAATTAATTATTAGAATCGCTACTATCACTTGCACTATCTATCTTAACCGCGCAGGTACGAGCGTTGTGTCTAGTCTGCTTGCAACGCCCGCACCACCTCTCTCCTCGCACCCTCTTCGACGCACTCTCACCATCACCACGACTGCTACCCGCCTGTTTAGCTAATACTTCTTGTACTTCGCCTACAGTAAGAGTCTCTTCTGTCTGTACGTATCGCCGCTTACGGCTCTTACGCTTATTTAATTCGTCTAGAGCTGCTCAAAGAGTACTCATTTCCTCTATTATAAGCGTCATTTTATGTGCCATTTGCTAAGCCCCCTTACTTAACTGCGCAATCTGCTTAGTAAGTGAATTGGCAGAAGACCTACGGCGCTTTCTCACGCTCTCTTAAATAAGACTAATTTAAGCCTCGACTTCGCGCGCGTTGCGTGGTGTCTGCGCCTCCTAGGCGGCTGCCTGTTGTGGCGATTGATGTGGTGTCCGCACCACCACATCAAGCTTTGATAGCACAGCCTGTGGGTCGTGTGGGACTAGACCAGCGCCTCTAAAGCTAGCTTGGATATTCTCCTTTGTAATAGACTGCTCAAAAGCAGTCTTAAAGGCTAGTAGGAAGGTCTCTTTACTGATATAGCTAGTGCGGTTGCGTGCCAAGCCTAAGATCAAGTCGCCATACTTGCGCTTTAACGGCGAGAAGCAGGCGACATTAAGAGGCTGCAATAGGTGAGACGAGTGCGCAGGCATATAGAGAAGAATAATATTCTTCTCCTTGCAAAGATCTTAAAAATCGACAGAGTAGTGGCTCTTATGGCCGTTAATAATGAGTAGTCGATACCCACCCATAGTCTGCCTCTTTGTATAGGTATTAAAGTGCTCTAACCACGCAAGAGTAAGCTAATTATTCGTCTAGCTATTTAGACTAACTTTAAGGAACTAGTTAGTAGGCAGGTCTTTAAACTAGATGTTAATAAGCACCTTGCCTATAAAGACAATAAAGGGGGGTAGCCGGCGACCCAACGCGCCCACGCCTTGAATCACAGTAACCCACTCACGGTTGCCTGGCTGTATCCGCTTCTTTTTGCTATAACCTTTTAATGCTGTGATAACTAACTATGATAAAATCTTGCCTATTATAAAGCTAGTCTTGTTAAAGTGATAGATATCGTCGTCTATAATACCCCACTTCTGCTTTGTCGCCTGGACTAAGTCGAACCAGCGCTGGATAGCCGCTGGGTCCTCGCAGATAGCTCGCTGGTAATCGTAAGGACGGCTCTAGCGCGTGTGGAGCTTAGGGGTCCTTTTAACAAAGTTGTTAATCTAGTTCTTGCTAACAGGGTTGCTCCCACGCTTATGCAATAGTTTATTAGCTATTGCTTAAACGTTAGGCTTTGTAGGCGCAAATCCTCGCGTAGACTCTTTAAGAATACGCCTAACTACAGCCTCCTCTTCTAGCTTATTTAGGCGCTTTAAATTCGGCTCGCAGTCGCGTTAGGGGCGCTTTCTAGTACGCTGGTTAGATAGAGTACTTTGAGGCACGTTATAGATAGAGGCAGCACGTCTTTAGCTTAGAACACGTTGCGATTAGGAGTTAAAGAGAGCAAGTTGAAGATCTAATTTAGTATAGAAAATCTAAGTAGTGCGTTGTTGAGTTATTACGCGTTGTAGTGTCAACGTCGACGCGCTGGTGGAGCGTGATCGACTCGCTTGGGTGATCGACTCGCTTGTGAACCACGTTATACTTATTATTTCTATAATTTTGCGTGTAGATTTACTACTAAAAGGTAACTTTAATATGATAATAAAAAAGTAAGTTAATATATCTATGTTTAGAGCTATAGTAGATTTAAAAATACATAAAAAGATAAGTATATAAGCTATCGCTAGCTTTAGAAAATTAGTGTGGGCGCTAAGAATAGTCAGGCTGATAGGCTGGCGGCTTAGCGTGGCGCTAGCAAGAACTTTTGACAGTCACCTCCGTAGTACGTCGGCCTCTCATGTTGCGACTAAAGGGCAAGCAAATGGCTGTCCGAGGATGCGTTTCCTAGAAGAAGCTGATGTAACGCTTTTCGCAAGCCCGTGAGGTGAGCCCATGCCACCATGGGCCCTTTGATGACGACGGGTTCCTGAGCAACACGACATGTCATGTGTTCTCCGGGGAGAAGCGTCCGGGCGAGTTACAACTATGCCGGTCTCAGCATAATCGTCAGGAAAGTGAGGAATATAGTAAGATGACTATTGATGAATTGATGAGGCGGCGCAAACACGTGCCAAGAAAGGGGGAGGGAGAAAAGCAAGGGCAGAGGGATACCAACCGTGCACCACGACGTAAGCCAAAGGCCATTATCAGCTCACTCATCCGACCATAGCCTTTAAGGTTTGACTCTGTGCCCATATAGGCAGGATCCCTGACACGACGGGCGTTGTAAAAAGTGGGATGAAGAATTTTCGAGCCCAAGGGGGTTTGCGCTAGAGTAGAGGCGGGAGCAATGAGAAGTGACATTATGCCTATCATTATGAGCTATACCGGATTCGGCAATGCTCGGTGGTATGATGGAGATGACAGTTGACGCACAGTGACCCTGTACATCTCCACAACGTCCAAAGTGGAGAACAGTAAAGGTGAAGGGTCTGTGTAAGGCTGGCCAGGGTCCAGCAGTAATTTTTGCTTGCCACTCTTTGCAATGTTCTTGTCGTGGCCATTGACGTGTGGTAGCCCATGCAGATTACCACATTAGTAGGAAGAGGACCAAATGCTACGCAAGTAGATGCCGCCTATCGGGACTGCGTACATGACCGAAAGATGCTATTCGCTGCGTTACAAGGAAAAAACGAGGCGGCATTGTTGGCGAGGAATATATTGTCTTTGGTCCGACCTCGAGGTTGGTCGTAGCCGAGGAAGCCGTAGTGACGGGACACTGACTAGGTTGGCTCGCCTGCTTATCGGATGACTCGTCTGTTCATCTTCTAGAATGGGTAATGTTATGCCGATGGGTTGACAAATTTTGTTGCGTACGCTGACGGTTGTAGATGTTAGTACTTTGGACTTTGTAACGCGACAAGACGTCTCCTGCGCGTAGGCGTAACTATCACCACCATGACGACCCAAGGCTGTAGATGTGTCCGCAGGCGGGACTGTGCGCAGCGTAGTTGTGACTGTGTATTGAAGATACTAGAGGAGCTGGACACACTTCTTACACCTAACGACCGTTAGCACTTAAGCGGCCTTGGCCAGGTAGGTGCTGGCGGCTAGCTCTGAACGCCAAGAGCTGGTGCTGCCGACAGCCGTCAGATGGCGTGCAAAACAAAATCCCTGTAGTGATGGGTCTGGAACCTGCAAGATGACTTGCAGTTGTAGGTATAACATTCGACGACACATCGGGATCTTCGGCATGTTGGCGAAGTGAGTGCTTGATTGAATCATGGGGTGCCGATACGTAATGATAGTAGTCGACCGGCCATTTTCGGACATGGGAGCGCGTGTGCTAGGCGCATCCGGTCTGCCTCCGACCTATACTCTATGCGCTTTCCTTGAGCTTGTCCTCGATATCTTCCAGGTCTTCGGCGCTATCAATCTCAATGATGCGGCCAACTTCACTTGTGTTCCGCATGAGCTCCTTTGCGCCCGCATACAGCATCTTGACCTCGCTGTTGCAAGTGATGGGCAGATAGTATAGCATGACGTAGGGCACCGATAGTCGTCCCGAGTCCTGTGCGTCTCAGCGTCTCCTCCAAAGGTTGTTTGGCATGCTGGTGAGCGAGCGTACGAGCGTCAACGGGTAGCTTAGAAGCACAAACCGCGGGGCATGGTCGGGGAGCTCGTCGGCGAGACTCTGGACATCCGAGTAGACTTGGTCGTCTACCGGTCGGACTTCGAGCGTCTTCTTATCGATCTCGTCTGGCGCGCATCGGCATCAGCGCCCACTGTATGGTATAGAGCCCGTTTGGCGGCCTCGGCTGAGCGTACAGATGACAGCTTGTGCGTCTTTGGCTCGACTTGTGCCGAGGCGGAATTTTCGCAACTTGGTCTTGGTCTCGTCAGAGAAGGTGTAAAGGCGTGCCTCGGAGGACTGCCCAGACGAGTTAGCGGGGGCTTGATTTTTGTGGCTGGAACGCGTGAGCAGTAGCTGCGGTACTTGCCATGATGTCGCACGATACTGGGACGAACTGTGTACTTGGGTTGGGTCGTGTTGGTGGGTTATGTGAGACTGTGTGAGCCTCATGGATGGTCCATGTTGGTGGGGTAATAGGGCGGGGAGATGAAATCGGAGAGCGGCGCTAAGTCGCGTAGCTCCTCCATGTGGCCGTCATTGTCCAGTCCCGTCAGGGTGCATGCATCTTTTTACCTTTCCACAAAGTTCCCCTCGTCACCTCGGCGTCCAGACTTTGTTCCCGTCGCGAGCGATTCACTGATTCATGTTTGGACGTCTCAGCCAGGTTGCTAGACACTTGTCTCGTCCGTTACCCAACCTTGCGCATAGGCCCGCGGCGGCTTCATCCGGGTCATCGATAGCGTCATCAGCCATGGCGTCGACACAGCAAACGAGTCTGATTCACACGGCGGCTTGCTTGATTATAGGGGACGAGGTGCTGGGAGGAAAGGTTTGTTGTAGATGGACACGGGGTTTTGTGCTGGATAGCAGCTGACAGGGCATTAGACGGTCGACACGAACTCGGTATGGCGGCGTCGAGGCAGTTATGCTGTGTGCTACGTGTACGTGGGCTAACGTTTTTGCTGGGTAGGCATACTTTGCCAAGTTTTGCTTCTCACTGGGCATCAACCTGCGCAGGATAGAGGTGATTGCGGATGACGAGGGGGAGATTGTCGAGGCAGTGCGACGCATGTCGACAAACTACGACATGGTTGTGACGAGTGGCGGGATTGGGCCTACGTGAGTCTTTGGCGGTCTGGGTCGAGGATACAGCGACTGACTGGAATGGGCGTGGGCGCAGTCACGACGACATTACGTACCAGTCGATAGCAAAGGCGTTTGGGCTGCCGTTGAAGCTGCACGAGGCAGCGTATGAGCGGATGAAGCGCCTGTCGAAGCCGCACAAGTCGCAGCCCGACTTTGACTGGAGCGTCGACTCGGCGGCGCTTCGAGCCAAGAAGCGCATGGTGGAGCTGCCTATTGACGAGTCGATTGCGGACGAGTCGCAGGTGGTGTTTATCAGCGATTCGCTGTGGGTGCCGGTTAGCGTGGTGAATGGCAACGTGCACATCCTGCCCGGGGTGCCGCGGCTGTTTGAGGCGCTGCTAGACGGACTCAAGCCCCGCATCCTACCACGGTTGACTGATGCCGAGGGCAAGGGGGTGTTGCGCATTCTCATCTCGACGCCCATGGCCGAAAGCGCCGTTGCCGGCTATCTGACCGAGCTGGCGGCGAGGACGGAGCCCAAGGGCGTAAAGATTGGCAGCTATCCAAGATGGGGCAAGGACCGCAACACGGTGACGCTGGTTGGCCGCGATCGCGACTTTATGGAGAGCCTGGTGCCCGAGGTGGAAAAGGCAGTGCAGGGCAGGCGCGTAACGGTCGAGGGCGAGGATGACGGCGAGACGTCTGACAAGGATTCGTAGCCAAGGGCACGTGTTGTCGCATGGGAGGCACATGGCCAGCGTGGGTACATGGGTGTAGTACAAGTATAGGTACGTACGTATGTTTGTATGTATGTATGTATGTATGTATGTATGTATGTATGTATGTATGTATGTATGTATGTATATGGTAGATGGGACATGTCGAGGAGGTACATGGCCATTACAGTTTTATACATGTACATGGATAGGTATGAAAGCAGGCCAGGCGGGCGATGCAGGGACCTCTCTGGTGGATATATTCAAGTCTGAGTGCAGCACTGCTACTGGGCGTGAGAGGGAGGGGGGTGTCAGGGCGTGCTACTAGCAGATGGCTATTAGGCGGGCAGCCTTCTCGAAGACGTGTGGAAGGCCTGTCGGGAGCCACGGACACGGCTGGCGGACCCTGGCTGGGCGCGGGGTGTGTATGCTATGTGTGTGTGTGTGTGTGCGTGCGTGGGTAGGAGGAGGAGGAGGATGCTCAGGATGGACGGCAAGGAGCGAGATAAGATAGGAGACGGCTTGTCGTATCTGCTACGTACGTACGTACTGTGTACAGTACATGTCCATGTAGCTATCGGCATGAGATGGCGTGTGGATGCATGGCGTGGGAGTGCTCACGTGCCGGGCGTGGGCGACGTGAATGGGCGAGGGGGGTTCTGCTGCCACTGCACTGCTGACTGCCGAGCGGTTCCTGCACCCGCCAGCCCCAACCCCGCTCTCCTGTGGCGCGCTGCATGTGTGCGCACCCGCAGGTGGGCGTTGCGAGAGGAGAGGAGAGGACATGTCGAGGAGGAGAGGAGCCCAGGCTAGACCCGACCCGACCCGGCCAGACAAGAGAGGGGACGAGACGACGAGGGCAGAGGGCGTCGCATCAAAGGGGGGGGGGGGCTGGTGGGTGGCGGGCTGGCGGGCTAGCTGGCTGCCGTGCGCTCGAGGACAAAGGCGATGCTAGCGGGCCTGACACGTCGACGTCGACGTCGTTGTCGAGTGCGTGTGCGTGTGTGCGTGGTAGCGTAGGGCAGTCCATGTGTGGGTGTGGGTGTGTCTGTCTGTCTGTCTGTCGGTTGCGGCCGCCCTTCCTCTTTTCCCTATCTTGCCGAGCGCGCCCCAACCCCCCCCCCTGGCGCACAGTAGTGGTTCGCGGGTGGGCATCATGGACCCCGTGCAACATGGTTTCGGACGCTGGGATCGCATGGAAGCTTCGGAGGCAGCCCGTCGATGCGGTGCTGCATCGCGACAAGACGCCGCTTTGGGCCTCCCTGGCCAGTGCCTTGCTTTTGGCCTGAGATGGCCGCCGTGGTGCATACGGCACATGGGGTGGCGTGCCGCGCAGCGCCGTGCTCCGTGGCAGCAGTAGAGCACACTAGCAGTAGTATCCAGGCATAGGTGTAGCAGTGGCAGCGGCAGCAGAAACAGCAGAGGCCGGGCCTATTCCTTGCAGGGCGCGCGGTGGGGATGATGGGTGGGCATGGGTATGGGCATGGTGGGCGGCGGCGGCGGTGGCAGTGGAAGGATGGGTGGGTAAGTGGGTGAGTAAGTGAGGGAGCGCGTGTGAGTGGGTGGGCGGCCACTCGGGCGGGCACTGGCACTGACGGGCACTGGCACTGGCATCCCCTCACCCTCGCTCCTGCCCTCACACTGGGCAAGAAAGGGCATAGGGCAGCGCTAACGGGCGCGCCAGTCAGAGCCCCCCCCCCCACTGTGCTTCCTGCGCCCGCGCCCGCGCCTGCACACACACACACTCACCCTCACCCACACACGCCTGCAAGCCTTTCCTCTCCTCAAAGTTCCTTTCTGCCCACCCCCCCCCCAGACGGAGCTAACGCCGTTTTCGCGACCCAAGGTGAAGGCTCGCTCGCTCGCTCGCTCGGTTCTGCTGCGCGCTGCTCTGCTCGGTTCTGCCCTTCTCTGCTCTGCTCTGTTTTGCTGCTGCTCTCCGCTCTGCTGCCCTGCCCTGCCCTACCCTGCCCTCCCTCCCTCCCTCCCTAAACCCTTCCGCCTTCGCTCCATCGCCCCCAACATCCCTCCCTCTCCTGGTCTCCTCTCCTCTTCTTCCCACACACACCCACCCCCTCCCCCCTTCGCTTACCACCGCGAAAACCCCGGACTCAATCGTCGACGATACCACGCCCTTCGCGCCCTCTGCTCCGCGCGTCGCATCGCCACACGCCTGCTCGCCTCGCCTCTTGCCCTCGGCTGCCCCCCCTCCCCGGACAGACAGAGAGAGCACCGTCGCTCCTTGCTCCCGCCTCTCCAACCCCCCCCCCGTTGCCCGTGACTGAGCTCGGCCTCGCACCTGCTGCTGCTGCTGCTACTACTACCACTACTGTACTCTATTTCAATATACCCATACCCTTTCCCCGACGCTGCGCTCCTCGTCCGGCTGTCCTCTTTATCCCTCACAATGGCCTCGAAGGTGCGTCGCCCTCGCCGTCCGTGCCACGCGCCCAACCCGCTAACTCGCCTCAGTTTCTCCGAGAATACAAGCTGGTCGTAGTCGGTGGCGGTGGTGTCGGAAAGTCGTGTTTGACCATCCAGCTGATCCAGAGCCACTTTGTCGACGAGTATGACCCGACGATTGAAGGTGAGTCGCCCTCGCCGCCCCCTGCCGCCCACGCCACGCCAACTGACAGCGCCTAGACTCGTACCGCAAGCAGTGTGTCATCGACGACGAGGTTGCGCTGCTCGATGTGCTCGACACGGCCGGACAGGAGGAGTACTCGGCCATGCGCGAGCAGTACATGCGCACAGGAGAGGGCTTCCTGCTCGTCTACTCGATAACGGACCGCCAGAGCTTCGAGGAAATCATGACATTCCAACAGCAAATCCTCAGAGTCAAGGACAAGGACTATTTCCCCATGATCGTCGTGGGCAACAAGTGCGATCTCGACGGCGAGAGGCAAGTCTCAACACAAGGTACGCGTCTGCCCTCTCTCTCCCCTCCCTCCCCTTTGGCATGCCGCCCCTGCTAACCCGGCCTGCTTGTGCAGAGGGCCAAACCCTGGCGCGGAACTTTGGCTGCAAGTTCATCGAGACATCGGCCAAATCACGCATCAACGTGGATAACGCCTTCTACGACATTGTACGAGAAATCCGCAGATACAACAAGGAAATGTCATCATACACGGGCCCTGGCTCAAACGGCAACGGCCCTCAGAAGACGACGTTTGACACGGACGACCAGGCGGAGAAGAAGGGCTGCTGCTGCGCCGTCATGTAAGGAGACGGAGCCTTGTTGTCCTTGTTTGTTCGGGTACGCTGTGGAGAGATACCTACACCGCTTGGTTCGGTCACGCCCCGCCCTGGCCATTTGGCGGTGCTGCTGGGTCCAGCAGAAGAAAATACGCGATACCACTATTACGTACTGTCCGTCGGCCGCCGCCCCGACGGGCCCTGCCGTTCGATTGCTTCTTCCCTTGGACACTGTTACTTTTGGGTTCGCATCACCGAGTTTTACGGATTCACGTCTGCTCGACGCGCCTCTGAATACCTTTTTTTTCTCTCTTCTACTATTGGTATCGACATCTTCTTCTTCTTCTTCTTCTTTTTTCGTCCTCGTCCTCCTCCCCTCTTTGCTATCTGGCGACGCTCTTGGCATCCGCATTTCATCCATCTAGACCGATTGTGTTATGGCATTTTTGATATCGGCAACTTGTATTTCCTATTTGGGGGGGCAGGCCATGTGAGGTACGATGCGGCATGTTGCTGGGAGTCAAAAGAGTTGTGCTATTCGCTTTTGACAGATTTTAGAGTCGTTTAACTTTAACACCTACCTTCTATGAACATAATTCATCTCTACTCGCAACGCACGCGCAATGGCTAGATGGCTGGATGGCTGGCCCGCTCGACGATGGTGCTTTTCGAGGCGGACTGGCGACGCGGCATGTCGCGATAGCCAAAGATGAGTGCATCGAGCACCGTCATCACGTGGTGGTGCGAGTCGCGAGCCACGGCCGTGTCGCATGATTGGACCAGGGCGCTCAATGCTATAGCGCTACCCGATGCACGGCCGTTTCACGACCTACATGCAAGCAGAAGGAGGGGAAGCCGATCAGGAGAAGGGCAGTGGCAGCTGAGCCATGGCGGGCCACCTTGACGTCTTGACAGCCTCTCCACTTGTGCTTGCATTCGCCCGACAAAGCCCCGGCACGAGAACCTTTTTTGTCCGCTGCCCGCGCGACACGAGGTTGCAGATCCCGTTTGAAACATTGCGCCTGGCGGGTGCAGGTGCGAAGCTTACATGTAGGCTGGCTTGCCGGCGCGAGCCCGACGCGCCGTTCTTGCCGCACCTGCAACACGTGCCCTTGTTGCCGCCGCCATGTGCATGCAGACGACATGTCACCACCACTACCATCATCGTCATCTTCACCTTCACCACCACACAGCCCTCTGCCGCGCAGTGGCATTTTCCTTTTCGTCCTGCTTCTTCCTCGACCCAGCGAGATTGCAATCAGCGCGCCGCCCCGCTACCACCAGCCATGTGCACGTCTGCCAATTCCTGCACATTAGGCTATTTCAGGTACCCGGGGCAGCCATGCACACGCTGCTTGCAGCTTGCTTCTGCTTCGGCACCAAGGGAATGCGTTCGTTCGGTCGCCACACACACACACACACCGTCTGCACATGGGCCTGTCTCGTCACCCGCTGCCCTACCCACACAAGCCTCCGACGCCGCTGTATGCACGTCTAGTGGGCCCTATATGCGGCCGCTCCCTCGTCCCCTGCGTTAGGCTTATCTCCGTACAAAGAAAAATGCCCCAGCCCGCATGATGCAAGTACAAGCCCGTAGCTGGGCGGCCCGTTTTGGAACCAATGGCCCGACATGGAACATCAGTTCCTTTTGGCAGCAGTAGCCACTGGGGACAATGTCTCGATACACACACTCGGCCTTGTTCACGATGCTCTCTCCCACTCGAACAGGCATATGCGGTAGGGGAATGACAAGATGGGCCTACCACCGAACATGACTACAATGAACATGACGTATCAAGTACACAAATCATGAATCGACCTCCCATACCACGACACAGCCAACGTCCCCTCGCCATACACCTACTACCTACACCAGTTTGCCACTGTACTCGGCAAGGCACGTGTGTTAAAATCGCTGCCAGTCAGTAGGCTGTATGGCTGTCACTGCCGGAAATAATATCCCACGGCGACGTAATGGAGCGTCTTCAAGTCGCCATTTGTGGATGCTGTTGCTGCAGTAAGACGCCATAGTGGGCTTGCTGGCTTGCATGTCGTAAGCATTTAGTTGCGGCCCGTACCCCATGCGCATACTCTGACGACGGCACCTCCCGCAAGCCCTGGCTAACCATGAACAATGTTCATGACTGACGCAACTGACACTTCTGCAGGGCGTCTCAAGTTTGGTGCCCAAGTCCCATGCTGCCGGTGCTGCATCAAAGCCCGGGACTCCAGTTCACGGCCCGGGCTGGCGGCCATGGTAGTGCCAGTGCCAGGGTGAGCAACCAGCCCATCCACCTAGCCCCCAAGAAGCTTTCGCGACAAGATGACGTGCATTTGACGCATGCACTCGAATCAAAAAATAAAATAAAAGAGGCTAACACCACTACCACTACCACTGCCACTGCCACTGCCACTGCCAACACGCCCGGCGTGTGGCTCGCCTGTGCCTGCGTCTATAGCTCGGATCGGCGCCTCGCCCGGCCAATCTGATGACGGCGTCGCCTCTTGATGCCAGGTAACTTGTGCTGCAATATTTGCCGTGTCATGACGAGACGCATACTGGCACGGCCCATGTAGCAGTTGACGGCGAGTACGATTCAAGACCTCGTCTCGCTTGCATCTCTCTCATTCCACCCAATGCTCTCTCTCTCGTCAACCACACCAACCATGCATAAATTTCTTTCCCTGCCCTACCTCATTTTCCCATGTCCAGCACACTACCCCACGCACAATAGGATAATTGAGTTTACCCTAGTTTCCCTCCATTTATGCAAAAAGGGTCCCACCACAAACTATCTCATGTAATTAGCTCTGATCGTTGCATTGCCTCACTCTGATTGGAAGGTAAGAAAGAGAAGGAAAAAAAAGAAGAAGCTTGAATTATGTGGCATGGCCCTGTCCCTAACCACGACCTTCCTCGGACTCGCGTGATCGTCTCCATCTCAGATCGTGCCATTAGACGGCAAACGCCATTATTGTCCATGTCCAGCTTTCTACAACTGCCGCTCTGGGAAGGTACTCCTAGACTGCCCAATGTATGTTGTGAACAAAGTAGGTGTAGGAGGAGGCGAGGCAGTATTGGCCCAAGGGTGACAAGGAGACTCGGTGTGTTTGGTGCATTCCTGTTGCTAGCACTAGTATACCCACGTTACTGTGTCTGTACATTTAGCTGGTTTGTTTGGCCAAAGCGTTTGTGCATGGGCAAACGCACTTCTGTCTTTGATTTGCCTTTCCCCTTTCCCCCAAAGACTGACTCGTTGCTTTGCTCTCATGAATCCCATTACATGACTCACTCGTTTCTTTGTTTATTTCTTTTTTTTAGCCACTGTCGATCAGATTTACTACCACTAGGTGTAGGTGTACGCTACATACTTGGAAACAACGGTTCCATTTTGCTCGGGCTCGCAGCGCTAGCCCTTGGCGCCACAAACCTTCTCAGCCACATCACTTCTATGGGTTTGAGGCTGTGTAGAACATCTTTGCCAGAATCGGTTAGGTAAGTGCTATGAGGCATTTTGTTTTCCAGAGTGATGGACTGGTTCAACCGAGTAATGTGCTGGTACGTGGAAACAGAATTTCATGTTTGCCTTCAGGCGGGTGACATTGGGGAGAATGTGAGAAGAAAAAGAAAACATGATACATGGAAATTGTCCCAAGTGATCAGCTTAAGGCGAATGGATTACACTGACATGCTACATATACATGGACCAACAGTTGCCTCTGACCAGCCGTTGGAACCAGAGCTGACCCTCTCCATTTTCTTCCACTGCCCCCCTTGCTTAGATGACATCCAATGCATTTATGACGCTTCCAATGCCACGTTTGCGTCAAAATGAGATCACCCGAGTGCTTTTTACTGGTCTTGGTGAATTCGCAATGTGCATTTGTGTCACGCTGTCTTGGTTTTCGGTAACGAAACGTGGTATCGTCTGCTGATACGTCCTTGTTCTTGCCAGCCAGTCTTCAACCTAACAATCTGCCTCGACTGGTTGAATTTCTTTCCATCGCTCTTGGCTACTACACTGGAAATCTCTCTTCATCAGTTGATGAGCAACAAGCCAGTCTGTGTGCACTCAGTTCCTGTTCTCGATCCAGTCCTTTGCACGCTCAATGCATTTCTCCACCATCCCAACGGCCATGCCATCCGCCCACCCAAACTTCCAGAGCCTCGCCACAAACATCTTGTTGACCTCGGTATCGGGTCTTGGGTAAAAGCGGAAATCCGGTACGTCCAAGCTATTAGCACGTCGCCAAGGGCGCAGGTTACACAACCTACTAATAATTTATTATTTAACCTACTAATAAGCCTACTAAGCTTAAAAGCTATATCAGCACTATAATATTTAAACTATATAAAGTTAGTATTATAATATAATCACTTAGTACTAGTTATATTAATAGTTAAGCAACTAATTATGTATAATTTAGTATAACAGCTTGGTATTTTATTTTTAAGAATTTAATAGCTTTTAAAATACTTATATTACTACTATATAATAGATATTGTGAAGGTGTGGTGTGGAACTGCGATGTCTTCTTAGTGGAGGGAATAGAACTATAGGCTCTTCCCCGTTTTATAGGCTATAGGGGAGGGGAGAGAGTAAAATATAAGTAGTTAGTTCTTTAAGTAAGAGATTTTTCTAAGAGATATTATTAATTAATTTTTCCTATAGACTTAACTACTAATTTATATTCTTTCTTAACAGTAAGTAGTACTTAGTTAGTAGTTATAAAAGTTATAGTAACCTTATACCTTAGCACAAACCTCCTAAACTTAAGAGCTTAGCCCTATTAAGCTTACCTCTACTATATATTAAATACTCTTCTCTAAAGTACTCTTTAGTTTCTTTTTAGTTATAATTTATTTACTACCTTTATCTATCCTATTCTTTACATCTAGCTATCTTGTCTTTCCTATAGCTTCTATATAGATACTAGGTTTTCTACTTCTAACCTAGCATCTATGCCTTACTTTTATACTTCTTCCCTTAGTTAACTACTACGCCTTAGTTGTACACTTAGACTAGT